CTCTTCACTTTGGTAATGCAGTGCCCCCACAGCCTCTCTTCCTTCTCTCATCGAAGGGTAGCAGAGGCATGTGACTGAGGTTGCTGTGCACCTGGCAACACACCACCTTGTGCCTCAGCTTCCCATTTGTGTAGGTTAGAAGTAGTACCCCAGAGCTGCATCCTATGTGGAGAACAGAGCACTTAGGATTAAATCATAATGGTTATATTGCACCCTGAGATTCAGAAAAGAAAGAGTTTAAAGCATGCCAAGTAAGATCAGGCACCTATGCAAAACAGACTAGCTCTGCTGACGTGTCTGGCATAACATCTGTTTGTCCCAGCCCTAGCTTACTTTGGTAGTCCAAGTCTGCATATCCCATGGGGAAACCAGCTCTCATTGATGGCTCCCACCCAGCACACGTGCTGCATCTTGCTGTCTGACCACTACAAGAACAGATTGTTGTATTTTTTTAATTGTCCTTTCCTCTCTCCTTTGGCCAGTAGTGCCAGGCCCTGCCTGAGGGGACTTTTGTCAGAGTTCCTGCTCTTGGGTACTCTGGCATCACTTTTTGTTCTGTCCCTTTTAAACCATACATTTGTCTGATGAAACTGTTAAAACTGAGCAGTTAAACCACTGCACAAAGGACACTCATTCAGTCTCTTACACAGATTAAAATGTGTTTGATAGGTTTGGCTTACTTCGTTTCCAGAACGAACCATTATCTGCAGCACATGTGGGTACCAGTGCTTTCCAAGTCATCAACTGGCCAACAGTGATACTAGTCATCCTTGAGAGAGGCATCACATTCTACAGCCTAAATAGGCCAATGAATTCTTCTTCCAGTATTTGAGATTGTCAATGGGGAAGAGAAGGGGAAAATATAAGAGAAAAAGGTTTGATGGTACGTTTCTTAGACATTTGCAATAGACGATTCTACTTCCTACAAACAAAATGTCAGGGGTACGTGTCACAGCTCCACTTCTTGTACTATTCATAACATTCTCCCTTGGAATTATAGCAAATACCAGACATGCCATGGAAAGGTTAACCAGCATTAGGTTTGGACACTGATCCAGCACCATTAACACTCAACTTCTCAACTTGATAGATTCTAATACTACTCCATTACCATTACAGTCATTATATATTAATTCCTAAACACGCACATAATCAGTCATCAAAAATGTGGTTATTTAAAATTAGGTATTTTGAGCATTACATTTCTGCATACTTTCGCTAGGAGCTTAAGCTTTGCCATTCTTCCTCCACCCATTATAGCAAAGACTTTTAAAGTCATTTCATAGCCCTAGTGACATTCTCCTCTCTTGCATATTTGCTGCATGGGAAAATTACTGGGGTTTTTATTATTTTAATTGCTGCTAGCAGGTTGTAAGATCTCAAATATCCCCAATTCCTTCACCGTTAAGAACAGCAGCATCTGGGTGTCAGTTTTGCTCACGATGGCAAATTACAGGGTCAGATCTGCCTTTCTCCCTCACACAAATCTGCACCTCAGTGGAGATTACAACTTGTGGAATACATAATATATAAGATGAGCATGTTTTGACTATCACAATTAGTTGATCTGCAACTACATGAAATGGCAACACTTAATTCAAATGGAGAGGCCGCGAAAACACCATCTTACAGCACATAAATCTGCAAAGCATGACAGGACCCGTGAAACAAAGACAAACAAAAAACCTGTATGTTAAATAGGGCAGACTACAAATGAATTCAAGAATCAGGAAATGCCACAATTGTGTTTACTTGTGAGAAATACTCTTAGCCCTCATGTACATATGCATTATTTTATAGCCCTTAATTACACGATCATATTCCTTCCACAGTATCCCATCTCAGACTGCACTCAGAAGGGATTGTGCCCATGTAATGAGCAGCTATTTGGGATGCTGGTTTCTGCTCATTGTTCAGTATGTGGCCCCAGGCCTTATTTACCACACATTATTCAAACCTGGCTCTAGAGATTTATTCATTTCCTTATGTGTTTTCCTATGGGCTTATCATTACACTGTCCAAGAGCTTCACCAGCCCAAGATCATTTATTTTCACACACCTCTGTAAGAGGAGGGGGTATTTTTATTCTCATTTTACGGGTGAATGACTGAAGACCATATTAAAAGGTATTTGCTAATTCTGGGTGCCCAGTCTGAGACACCAACAGCCTGACTGATCTGTGCTTGTATAGTACTTTGGGTTCAGTGGATTCCCATTCACTTCATTTGCAGCTGTAAGCACTCAGTGTTTCTGTAAAGCAGGTCCTTTGGGATCAAAAACGTCCCCTATAAAATAAGGAACGCACAATTAAACAACCACTGGCACAACAGCTGCTTCAAAAAACCTGAGAACTATCACACAGAAATGGTCACAGAAAAAAGTCAACTGGCAGGTCAGGATTTCACTGCCTCAGCTATAAAAGCTTCCCTTTCTCTCCTGCAGTCCCTTGTCTCACTCAGTACACACCTGACAAATGAGGCAGGGGTCCTACAGATGGTGTCTTTCACTGTGCAACTCAGATTTATCTCAGAGCAGGTCCATCGCATGCAGTGAATGAGGCGGGGGTCCTGTGGAAGAAACAGCACAGAGTGACGTAGCTAAAACATGAGTTGTATAAGACATACAGTCGGGTAGACAGAAGTGCACGCAGAGGATAACTGGTCTTCCCCCAGCTTCCAGTTCTTGCATCAGCACCCTTCAAAGTGCCCTTTTCACAGAGTTAGTTTCTTTTACAGCAAACCAATTCCCTCATGAAGCATCACGATGAACACTTTTGTGGATTATCAGAAGAGACGAATCCATCACGTGGACCACTACAACCAAGGTAATGGAGTAAATGGGCTGCAAGGGTAGCTCATCCTCCTTTGTGAAGACTAACATGAGGAGCATGAAACACCGGGTGAATTTCAGACACTGATGACAGCTGAGTAATAATGATTCAGAGGCTCTTCCAACCATTCAATTCAAGTCGTGCTCTTGCTCTCTCCTCTCCAGACCATCCTAGCCCACTTTCTTCTCTTCACTGCCTTTGCCTTCTAACCCCATCCCTTTCCTTTGCTCTCAGCTCACCCCAACCAAACACCATTCCCCCACACTCCACAGCCCCAGCCTCCTTGTTCAACAGCTGCTTATAACTATTTGCTTCTCCTCCTCACCTTTTTGCCCAGCTCCCCTTGCTGTGTCTTTCCATTACTGTTTGGTGGCCCCACTTACTGACACTGCCTCTGCCCCGCCACAGCCCCAGTTGTCCCTGCAGTCTGACTCCAAAACACAAGCTGATTTAGAGCTTTGCAAAGAGGAATCTTCTTGATTTGTTTTTAAATGGAAGGAAGGTGTAATTCAAGAACATGGCATACTCCCTACTTTTTCTTTTAAAAAAATATATATATATAGTTGCTGGTTTTGATAAAAATTTCCACAAAACAAGTCTATCAATCAGAGGCATAGAAAGTGTTTACAGCAATGATTAAAGCTTGGCAGTGGTATGAACAACTGAAACTTAATTTTACAGGAAGCACTAGTAAAAAAAGATGGTGCTGCTAGTCTGTTTGTTGTACATGGCAGTGAAAATGAAGATAAAAATTAAGGAAGATGGTTAAGCAAGAAAGAGTGCTGCTGCCATCTCTTTTTAAGACTTACCATGGTTGGGTACATTAGCATTTGGATGGCAGGCCTTTGAAGGAAAGTGGAGTGCCTGTACTTCTTCGTACACTATCCTGGTAGCTTATAGATGCTAGTGCTTATTTGATATACAAACCTGCACCCATCTCAAGCTTGCATCAGCTGGACACAAGAATATACATGTCTTAACTTTTCACAGAATCACAGAAAATAGGGCTAGGACCAGGTCAGGTGGTTGGTGCATCCCTCCGTCCCAACAAAGGATCAGCTATAGCAGCATTATTTTTGACAGATGTTTTTCCAGCCTGTTCTGAAAAACTTTCAGCCCTTCTCAGACAGTCTGTTCTAATGCTCCTGCATCATTGCTAATACAAGTTTGTAACATCAAACTGAAATCTCCCACATTGCAATCAAAGCCCATTTACTTCCAGCTCTATCAACAACGGACATAGCAAACGGCTTAATCACTTCCTCTTGGACAAAGCCTCTTACTATTTGAAGACACATTCAGACACATTCCCCAGACGTTGCCTAATATCTAGATTTCCACAACAGAAATATTAACCTGCCTAACAGAAACAAATTAGCACCTCAGTCCCTCTAACTTCATCCCTGGTTCTCCAAGCTTATCGCTTGGAAGGCCACAGATTTTTTTACAAACACCTACAACAAGGAACAAGGTTGCAGCTAGCAGGCTGGCGTGCCGTAGACAAACCAAACTTCCCTTCACTTCTAGGAGACTCCAAGTGATTCAGTAGTAACGCCTCACTGCAGTTACAAAAAAAAAAAAAAAAAAAAAAAAAAAAAAAGAGTGCTAGCCCTTCACTGAGGCAAATCTGCCAGCTGGATTCAATTTCTCATGCTCTTTCAAAATCTTGAGCTGAAATTTTGGGAAACTTGAGAAAATATCTTCTGATAAATCAAGGCTATCATCTATTACACTCACTACACTACTAGCTAGAGCAGCAAAATTTCTTAGCTGTCCTCGATGAAGCCGAGAGCTGTGCCCATGGTCCTGACTTCCAGTGCTGTGCCTTGAGCACAAACCAGTCTTTTCTCACTGACAAGCAATGGAGACCTGCCAGATATCATATGAAACAGCTCCCAGGAAACTGGAAGTCCGTATCCTTTGTGCATGTGGGTATAAGAGCATACAAAATGGCCGGAGTTGTAACTAGAAATGTCATGAGGTTAAAAATGTGGGACTTACTTAATATTATTCAGATAATACAGATTTGCCTCCAGTGTTACAAACTGTGAGCTCCCAGGGAAGCCAGGAGCCATTCTGTGCAGATAGGAAACAGAGGGCCATTCTCTACCATAGGTGGTGTGATGGGGGAAGGTGAACTGGCAGCTCAAAGGTGCATGCAACTGCTCTGTACTGTGTGTTTGCACAACTGCGTGAGAGTGTATCCCTTGGTGATGTTATTCACAGGCCTTGGCCGACAGTAAATAAGACAGTGGAGCTTGATTCATGAGGGATGACAGGAAATCTATAACATGTGGGCTCTATAATCTGCTCGCTACTGCGTAGCAAGATGAAAGAACAACAGTCCAATTACCGAGTCCTTGCTGATCCCAAGCACATCCTCCAGATCTTGTTCCGCTCAGAGCAGTAGGAGTCTGTTGGCACCAGGGGAAAGCAAGCTCTGGCGCAGGCCGTCTTCCATGCTGGGATGGCAACAGTATTTTGGAAGCACCAGACTACCTTACAGTGGATACAAACACAGCCAAGACTGTGGCATGAACTTCAGAGCAAATTTCTGGAGAGCGACAGGCTGCTGAGCTCAGTTCACCAAAGGACCGCCATGTGGACACCAATTGCTGCACTCCACTGCAGGCATCCCATGTCTCAAAGGGCTGGCTGAGCCAGGGAGCAGTGATCCACCACGGCAGTCTGGCCCAACCACTTGGTTTGGTGGGGACTGTGAACAGCATCCCCCTGCGATAACACAAACCAATCTGGATGCAGCTCCACAAAACTAAAAACAGGGATATGATCCAGCAGGACATAGCAGCTGGGTTTCAAATGGTGTCCAAAAAGCACCTTAAGGGGAAGGAGACAAAAGCTGGAGGGAGATGTGGATTCTGGAGCCAGATGGAAGAGGGATGCTGCTGGCCCACAGCATTCTCCTAGAGAAGATGGCGGCTCACGGCTTAGACAGGTGTACTCTGTGCTGGGTAAAAAACTGGCTGGACGGCCAGGCCCAAA